CCCCTCCCTGCATTGCTTGCTTTTTAAGACTCTCCTGCAGTTACTTTTGAGCACCCCCTGTAATTACTGATAAACCCAGAAGTCTCTGACCGGGCCGCTCTGCTGCTTTCTCATTTTTACCCGATGGCTCAGGCTGTGTCTCTCCTTCTAGGTGTGCAGGACCCAGAGACTGTGCAGCGCTCTCAGGAGGAAAGTCAACGAGATTGAAGCCCAGCTCCCGGCCTTGCTCGAAGCCAAAATGCTCGCCGTGTCAGGTAACCGGAGATAGAGAAGACACTGAGGCAGTTGCAGTGGACTGGTGACCACTGCCATCCATGTTTTGTCCTTGACGAGCATTCTGCCTGCGACTTAGGTCACGCTCAACTCTGCAGAGCTTTTCCAGGGAGTGTCACTGAAACCCGTGGAATAAATGGGCAGCATGGTCTCCTTGTAAAGGGATGGGCCAGACTTTTAAAGATACATGTGCACACACAACAGAAAGTAAGTTATTTGTGTAGGTACCGTAGCTTGGCCTTCCACTTCTTGTTTCTTTAAGAGCGTAAGGCCACACGTGCTCCGTGTCACTCTCGCCGACGTTTCCACAGCGTTATGTACCTGTAGATGCTCAGTGAGGATTATGGGATGTAATCAACCCCCTCCCGTAGGGGGAGGAATGATAACATGAGACCCGGTGATGCACCCAGTTTAACGATCTAGTCATATATTATAGATTTTTGGAGATTCTCAGCAGACTACAGTCCCTGCTTAATCTGGTAGTTATTAAGGGATATATTTTACTGCATTAATTAGGTTGAAAACACTAGTTTCTGAAAAGAGTATCTCGCCCTGTCTTCTGAATAGTGCTTTAAAATGTTCTGCTGTATTGTTTTATTTTATTTTTCCAACAGCTATATTAAGTTGGTGGGAGAGATACCGACCGAGGTCTCAGGGAGCAGAAGGGGAGCTTGAGGCCCTGGGGTGCCCTTTGGTTAAGTTCACCCCGTTACTGAGAGGCGGCAGATCGGGGTAGAGTCCAGGTGTGACGTAGGGATAGCTCATCAGCTTCAGAAGAGCCATAAACCTTTAACAAAAGGTGTAATAATTACACATATGGGTTTTAAATGGATTTAAGGAGGAATACAATAATTGGCAGCTTCTGCTCTTCAGACCGTTAAACAAGTAATGCTGGCAGCTAACGAGCAATTTGGTTCCTGGCGCAGTCTTGCGGATTATTTACGACCAGGAGACCATCGAAATGGGAGCGTGGGGCTGGCTCCCAACAGCTTCACGTGCCATTTACTTGGAATTACGGCCCCACTGGCTGAGAGGGAAAAAGGAGAGCGAACACAGTCTTGCTCCTGAGTTAGGGCTCTGCTTTCTCACTCAATCCATCATCCCCGGAATGCAGGCGGAGGCGTCTCTATTAAGCCCAAGGGAGGAGATGCATCGTTCACGCAGCAGAGCCAGCCCTCTCTCGGACTGGACGTGAATAACCCCTTGTTAGAATCCCAGGAAGCATCCCTATGGTGGTGGATCGCATATGGGGCCTGGGCTTTCTGTTTAGGTCTCCCATCAGCTGAGAAAATCAGTGAGGCCTGAATAACTGGGCTGGGCACCCGTCTCTTGCCCCCCCGATTTCCAGATTACTCCCTAGCCCTTGGCGAAGGGGCCTTCCAGTCACTGGCAGGGTGGTCTTCATTCTTTGCAGCTTCTGCATGTAATGCGATTTCTGTTTCCTTTGGAGCTACACTCCACGGCTGGGAGGACCTGAGGAAGGAAGAGGTACTTCCCTTAGGATCCTCATGGCCTGTTTTAGCACCTTCAGAGTGGCAAACCCTCACTCCGTTAGACAACAGCCACAGGACAACCCTCTCCAGAAGGAGCCTGTCTCGTCTTGGGCTCTCTCATGAATGCTGAAGGCAATGCCCCTGAGAGTCTCAGAAGCCCCGGTGAAGGGAAAGGATCTTAAGGGATGCCCTTAAGATGACTGGGCAAGGCCTTTTGTCTGCCTGAAACTGTGATTCATGTCTCAGATCTCCCATCCTGGATTTGATCAGTGGAATGAGGCCTTTTCTTAACTTGAGGATCACTTGCTACCTGCAGAGATAAGGGAAAAGAAAGTTTTATTTTCAAACTCAGCAAGTCCTAGCTTCTTGATATTTAACAGAGTGTTCTTTAAGTCACTTCTCTTTTCTTGCATTTTGTTATAGGCAACACAGAAGGCAGTGGGCACTTTTGTATTCTGCCTGGAATCCTCTGAAAGCTTGATGGGGCCGAGCAATCTGCTTCTGAGCTCCTTCAGTGGCTGTTGGCAGAAGGTCTCTGTTCCTCACCACATGGGCCATGTCACAGGGCCACTCCCAACATGGCAGCTGATGTCCCCAGACCAAGCGATCAGAGAGTGAAAGCAAACAGGACAGAAGCCACCGTGCCGTGTTGGAACTTCGTTTCCAAAATGAGTGGTAGGAGATTTGGCCAGGGGGAAACCCCTTGACCAGCTGTCCTTACTGCTGAAGGTTCCTGGCTAGTGCACCTGTAGAAAAAGGGCTGTGGTGGCATCCATACTCCTTATTACAATGTAGTTTTGTCCCTAAGTGTCTGTGCGTTCTGCTGTGCCCTCCCTTTATGGGTGACTCCTGGCCACCTGACCACATCACTTATTGAGCTGTATTTGGTGGAGTAAGCACTACCACGAGGTTGAAAGAACCAAGTTCAAGTTCAGTAACCTCATGGGATCTCCAACACTTTGTGACCTTCGGGTGATCCCTTTTTGGGTGATCATAGTTTCTTCAACTGGAAACCAAGGAGAGTCATTAGAAAATCTCTTCCTAGATTGTTGTGAAGACTAAATGAGACAATTCATGTAACAGGAGCCCTGTCATCTATAAAGTCCGACTCTCAGAAAATGGCCTCAGTAACTGACCCCAGATACGATGAAGTGTGTGCATGTGTGGGTAAATATTTAAACTCAGACGCACCGAGGACAAAGGTAGAAAAAACAGAGTGGGTAAAATCAGCTTCAGCTTCAGCTTCAGCTTATGCCTGGAGGTTTTTAATTGTGTTATTTGTAGAATAAAATATTTTGACAGGTGCTTTAAAAAAACAGATGTGAACACCCAAGGGTGCCCCCCTCGCTGCCGAGAAGGCACCTGTGCAGCGTGCTGGCGAGGGCAGGACATTCATCTCCGCACCGGTCCTCTGGTGGCATCGGGAACAGGCCCATTAGAGTTACAGAGATTGGGGTCACCGGGTCGCTGATGGGAGATTCAGAAATCGGCGTTTGTACTGTTCTGAATTTTCATCGCCGAGCTCTTGGCCAGTTTTAGCAATCGGCCAGCTTTGCCGTGCGGGCTGGGAACTGAGGCCAGAATAACTATGAGATACTAACCGAGGGCGTGTAGCCTCTTGATGGCTCGCGTTTTGATATTAATGGCCCTTTTGGGAATTTGACTTCTGTATGTGTGACACTTCCAGGTCTATCACGATGCATTTTCCTGAGCCATACTCCTCAGGCTCCGGAAGGGACCCAGGATTGAATCAATGATTGCTTCTGTCTGGTCGAGGGCCCTGGTCTCTGGGGCTCTCGCTGAGTTCGGGTGGGTCCGAGAACATGTTTCCAGCAAACTTGTGCAGGGGCTCGCTGTCTGTGTGGTCTCTTCCCATTGGTTTTTAGAGGTCTTTTCTCCTGAACTGTTCTCAGGAGGAGATGGCACACTGTGGTGTATTTTGCCTGGTGGCACAGTTAGGGGCACAGCTGGTGCCCACCCCACTGTCTGGTAAACCTCTTGCTTGAAAGCAGGGTCCAACAGGAAGGCTGAGGCTTCCTGGGCCCGGACTGAGAAGGGACACTATGCTCAGTCTGCTCTGTTCAGAGGCAGTCCCACCTGGGGGCTGGTCCTCCCACAGGCTCCCTGAGAGCACGGCCCACTGGGGGCTCAGCCCTCAGCAGCCCTGGCCTGGTCGTTGTTCAGGACAGAAATCACAGATCCAAGAAACGCTTCTGTTGTGTTTCTGGTTATAACGCAGAGCTCGTGGAAGTCCAGTCTACTCTCCTAGTCAGGACTTCGCTTTTCCTTGATAGGTCCCGCCCACCAGCTTGGCATCGGGGCCTCCTGGCGTTGGGTCTCCACCCCAGTCCCACGTCTCCTGCTATGCGCTGGGGACAATGCTCTTTGCTCTCTAAGCCAGGTTTCCCATTTCTCTTCTGGACACCTTGCCTCCTTCCCTCCTGCAACTGCCTCCATCTCCCCTCTGGAACAACGAGCTCTCCTGGGGCATGTTTGCCTCTTATAATAATCTCATCACCTTTATTGAATGGTCACCTGCTGGGGACAGGGCTGTGCCTCGTCCTTTCTGTGTTTTCCCACGACATGACAGACAAGAAAGAGTTTCGGAAGGTATTTACCTAATCACGGAATAGGAATAGGTGGGTGTCAGTGACACAAGTGCCAAGTGCTGGGTGTGCAGAGCTCCTTTAAGGTGGAAAAACATCTGTAGCCTCTCCCATATTTATGTCAGCTGGAAATATGCCTATTAAATAATAAAAATACTGAAGAAATGAACAGCACAGTTTAGTACTTCAGAGGGGTGGGTTCAGGAGTTATGTTTGAGTGGAAGCTTCCCCATGTTTTATTACTATGTGAGCTTCAGCAAGATAGTTAATTCTCCGGATTTCAGTTTTCTCCACTGTAGAGATAACCACATGTATTTCATTGACCATGAAACACCCCCCCATTATTTTATATACTTACCAAGAAAGAAAAGCTCCTGTCAGTTACGCAGTGACACAGTGCTTTCTGTGGCTTAGACTTTTTGTTTTCTACTTATTGAAATAGCTCTTTTAGATGTATTTAGGCTTTAAAAAATCACATATATTACTCTTTAAAGAGGAAAATATAAAGAAAATGACTGGGTTAAAGTTTTCTAAAATGCCTTCTTATTCAGAGTCTGAGTCCTGAAGCCCGTTTCGACTCAAAGCAGCCGAGGTCCCTGATTTTGTTCCCTCCCTTTGTATTGGTGAAGCTACTGGCGATGCCACATTTTCCCTCCGAGAATGAACTGCTGTTTTCTGTAGGATTTTCTGCCCAGGCCCTGACATTGTTCTTCAAGGTTTAAGTGCTGTGCTTTCCTGATCTTACAAGTCCGTGCCAACAGAAGGTTTTCAGCAACACCCAGACTGAAAGGGCCCTTCATTGATTTGTACATTGAAACACCAGGGGTTTGCAGGTGTCAGCCAGGCCACCAAGAACAGCAGTCAGGTAATAAGTTCATCCGGACCACCTCCTGGCTAACAGTGAATGTAAGAAACCCCGGATCAGACATGTTAACATGTTAAAAAAAAGTGCGTCTTAGAATAGATAATATAAGGCATTACCTCCCTCCCAGGGATGAGGTGAGATTTGAGGAAAAAAGGTTTGTGGCTATTAGTGTGATTACGGTTATAATAAATTTCTAGGAAACACGGTGGAGCCCTCCAATAATAATAACTGTTACTATGGAGCATTCATTAATATGATGTACTTATTCATGTATGATATAATTTCCATATTTAAATTTTTCCTAATATACAGGGAGGGGCAAAAGTGGGTTTACAGTTAACACAGAGTTTATTCTTATATTATTATTAATTAATTATTGTATTATTTTCCATATGAACAATTGTAAGTGTACTTTTGCCCCACCCTGTGTTTTCCCTTTTCTATAGAGGTCTGATTTACCTTCGGTGAAATGCACAGATCTTGAGTGCCTAGTTCTATGAAGTTTGACGCCCATGGTGTCAGCAACCCGATGAAGATATTTTTATTGCCCTAGAAACCTCGCCCCCGTGCCCCTT